GCAACACCATTTTGTTGAGGGGTATTAGTGCATGAAGTCTGGTGAATAATACCATGTGTGGCGAAGTAAGTGGCAAGACCAGAGTCAATATATTCTTCCCCATTTTCAGAATGTGACAGTTGCTTCAGCATTCCTATAACAAAAGAATACATCAGTAAGTTTTAACTATATACATATTTTTTTTTGTTCTTCAAAAGATGGGAGGAGAAATATGTCCCATTGGGCGTGCCAAAATTTGTAGACACAAATTTTAAAACATGAAGTGTTTCAACACATTTCAAAACTTATGTTACAAATGTCTACTGTTTAGTTTTTGGACTAAACAGTATTGATTATTTGAATAGCAGGTTCTTATTTCTGATCTGTATTTCAGATCGTTAATTACACATTTTATACTAGGGGTGTGCGCGGTGCGGTTCGGGCGGTTTGAGGGTAAAATTACAAACAGAATGGCGGGTTGGCGGATTAGCGGATTGACAAATTGCGGTTTGAGTGGTTTTTGGCAGATTGGCGGATTGAAGAATATTCTAACTAATTATCATACATTTGGATAATATATAATACTAATTTGTATAATATTTTTTAGATATATAACACAAAGTAATTTTACATAATATGTTTCATATATATAATTACTAATTTATAATAAATTTCATATCTTAAATGTCTCTTACAGTCATGTTTACATTGATATTTCATTGGAGGTTAAAAAATATATATGTATTAACTATAGCGGAGCGGAGCGGTTCGGTTCGGTTGGCGGATTATAAATTTTAAAGTTTAAACCGTGGTTAGCGGTTAGAGCGGTGCGATGTGGATCAGTGCGGTTTTAGCGGATTAGGTGGTATTTTGCACAGCCCTATTTTATACAAATGAAACCTCCGATTAATGAAGAACAAAATAAACAACAAAAGACAATTTAAGAAAAGTAAATATTTTATTGAAATTGTTATGAGTTTTGAACCCTCGAATACAAAATACAATTCTTGGGTTTAGAACCCTTTACTTATTCATCGCCATTAGCGTAGGCTCTTGAGTTCTCTAGGCTTCTCTTCTTCTTTCTTGTAACGATTTCTTTAGCTCTCAATTTCTTTCTCTCTCTCTGATCTTTTCACTTTTGATTTTCTGATCCCCCGTCTTGTGTGATGGTCCTCATATTTATGGAGGGCCATCAGATGATAAGAATGCTTCATCTTCAATTTGAATTTCAAATTGAATGATAACGCCATTTGAATTTTGAATAATAACGCAATCTGATTAATCGTATATCTTATTAACCGGATTGATCTTTGGGGTTTCATCCTGTGTGGTGTCCTTACTGTAGGCTCTACAGGTGTCATCTTTCGTTGGCTCCATGTGTCAATTGAGCATCTTGAATAACATCGTTGAGATATAACGTCGTTTTATTTATGTACTTCAACGGATCATATTGATCTTTTTTTAGGAAGTGATTACCTACAACCTTCCTATCATAGGCTCTATACGTGTCATAAATTTAGTTGAAATTTATGTACCAACAGTATCAGAGCTTGGTTAGGCCTATGACTGGTATGCCATTTGTCCAGCTATTGTATGTTGTGGTCCAAGAGAGTGTGTTGAAATGTGTCCCACATCGCCTGGAGTTGCCTCTTCTGTGTTGGTTATAAGGCTCCAGTTTCCCTTTCCTTAATACTTGGATTTTAAGGAGAAATGTGGGCTGGTTATAAGGTTCCAATTCCTCTCTCCTTAATACTTGGGTTTTAAGAAGAAGTGTGGGCTGGACTTTCCAATTTGATATCAGGGCTTGGTTGGGCCTATGACTGGTGTGCCATTTATCCGGTTACTGTATATTGTGGTCCAAGAGGGTGTGTTAGAAAGTCCCATCTGTGTTGGTTATAAGGCTCCAGTTTCCCTCTCCTTAATATCAAACACACGTCCAAGTGTGTCATATCATTTCTTTAATTGTTTAGACTCGGACACACTTCAAACACTTTGGGGACAAGCCATCTTCATCACTTAAACAAACATGAAACACATTATAAGCCTGAACAAAATAACTTGGATATAATGATAAAATAAAAACAATTAGATTTATACCTATTAATCCCCCTTTTAAACTTTAGAAATCAATGTCATATTGCATTTTTTATTTTTATTTTTTTAATGGAATATTCATATATATGACATGTAACAAATATATAAAATAATATATTTTGTGCGCGTTTGTCATGTCTCACATTTTTTTAAGATTTCTAGGTCGGTGTGTCAATGTCATACCTTGTCCATGTCTATGCTTCTTACATGACACTTGATAGGTGTTGAAATGTACACATTTAGGCCCCCCTAAAATACAGTTGTTAGTGCTTCAATTATCATTACTTGACGGTTTTAATGAGTTTGTATATGTGTAGGTCACTCAGGCATGTGAGATGAAATTGCATTTAATTTGAAATATTTGAAGCCTAAGAGACAAGATCCAACCCAATTTTAAAGGCTCAGAAGATGTAAATAATTTGAATCAAGCAATAGAAGCCCAACTCATGATGTTTGAAGAAAGAAAAGTTAGATTTGTTGCAATACCCCTAAAGGAGTCACTCTGCATATCCTTCAGTATTTTGAATGTATCTCTCTCATCCGATATCGGATTGAGGTGATTCAAGAGGCATTGGAAACCAAACTTAGAAGGCTATGATTTTGTATGAAATAGAAAATTTTTAATTCTAACTTTTACTAAGTCAAAACAGACTGGCAAGCTGAGCCTAAAAAGTTGAGAATAATTACATCCAAATTTTCCTTTTAATTTGGGAAATTCTAGCCTCTTGGCTATTACATAGAAGGCTCCTATGTCTATAAATACATAACCCTGTTCATTATTAGGTTGTTCATGATTTTAGAGAGAGAAAGCGGTGGCTACGAAGACGTGCGCGGCTAAGGAGTTGCTCTCAAGGTTTGGCTGATACTCTAGTCAAGTAACAATGTTTTGTATTTAGCTTAGGGTTTTTATTATAGAATCAACATTTATATAAGATTAAGCTTTTCTAATTTATTTATTAATGTATTTTGAATTTTTCTACACAATACATCTTTTTTTAGTTTTTGTGAGTATGCTTATACAAGGATTTTCAATGATTTGCTTTTGCTCAGTTAAGATAATCTATGCTCGGAGAGATGAGTTGTGTTGTGAGACAAGTCATGCCAGTACTAGAAAGTCTATTCTATCGATAAACTGCAAATATCCCATAGATGATATGTTTGGGAATTACAGTCACTAATGGATCATAGTTGAATTGAACAATAAATCCCCAGACTGATACAACTCATTGATTACAAGGTTATGATAGATTCAAAACCCTAGGTCTATTCTATTTGATTGATACTACTTTCATTATATTTTATTTGTCTAATTTAATCAAGCTTATACAAACATCTACCTTTGTACTTTGAATTAATTTAGGAATTAATCTGAAATTAATACACAACTTAACTCTTTAGTCCATGTGGATCAATACCTGAACTTGCCATCATTATAAGAAATTGAGGTGTAGTTTATTTCTTTATTTTTGTTATGAAAAACGACCTACCAACAGCATTTATTATTGGTGAAGAAACATCATTATGTCCAAGTTATTGGTCTTTTTTTTTTATTTTTATTGATAAATATCCAAGTTATTGGTCTTAGTTAACTCCAATGGAATTTACTTTGTTTATTTTGATCTTTTATTTATTTATTTATTTTATTTTATTTTTGATAACTGGGTGTCTGAGGTAGCTTACATGCACCTCAACTAATCCCAGGGGCCAAATCCCACTGGCCACTTGCGGGGGCCCCCATTAAAGGCAGAGCAAATGCCCTATATGAACTGGCCCCAAGGAACTTGGGGAACTTATTGCAGCTAGTGAGTATTGAACCTGAGACCTGGAGGGAATTCACCCCCATGCCCCAAGTTGTGCCTACTAGACCAACCCCTTGAGGTTTTGATTGTTTCTCTTCATGTAGTTCCTTCAATTCATTGATTGATGCAAGTTGGTTCTTTCAAACCTTCAGTTACTCTTATTTTCTAAATGTTCAAATCGCCAGAGGAGAAGAGAGAAGTTTTGTAAATAAATTGTATTAGACAGGCACCAAGGGGATGTCACCTGAATACAAAGAAGAATAAAATAGAATAGGTCCATCAAGCAATTCTACTCCAAAAGCTCTAAAAATCCAAAAATTGGTTCAAGGAAGGGATAGCTCCTTCCACGAACCAACTATACAAGATGATCAAAATTTACTCTTCAAGATGAAAATAGGAGTTTCCAAAACATCAAAAATCCTATTCCATTCTCTCCAAGTAATCCACATCAAGCCAAAGGCCCCAAGTAACCATGCATTCTTCTCTTGAGTCCTACCTACTCTAGCCCTCTCCAAGAATGCACAAGCTTCATAAAACTAACTGGAAAAACTTGCACCCTTTCGAACAAGACAAGAAACGAAGTCCAAAGTCCTCTAGCCACTGAAAAGTGAATAAGTAGATGGTCTACAGTTTCTCCCTCTGTTACATGAACTCAAGTGTGGGTTTCGAGTGTAGGCATGTGTCCAAGTGTCAGTTTCGTCTAGTTCTCATGTCCAAGGACACGGGAAATTGGTAAAATACTCATATTTCTTGATATACTTCCTTTCGTCGCAAAGTTAGAACTGTGTTTACAAGGTGCAAAATATATAACTTACATAATATAGAGTTTCATGCGTAGTTATATATGTTAAACTGGAATTACCAAATATATTTGTTGGGAGAATGTTCAACTATATTTGTCAGATGTCCGATACAGCCTACAGGTACTTCATACATTCTGACAAGTCCAGTAAGATAGGTTTCCCCATACCAATAGTGAGGATCTTCCCACGCATTACAGTCCAGACAAACTACACAACCTTGGAAAGGGCCTTAGTCCCCCATATGCTTCTCCAAGGAAAAGATGCGTCTCTATCACCTACCAAATAGGAAGCACGGATACGGATACGGGATACGGATACGATACGATACGGATACGGCGATATGGCAAAATTCGAAAAAGTAGGATACGGATACGGCAGGGATACGTTCATAAAAAATGTTTTTTTCACAACTTTTAGTAATGTAGCATACACAAAAATAAAACTTCAACAATTTTTAGTAATGTAACATACATAAAATAAAACTTTAACAATTTTTAGTAATGTGACATACATAAAAATAAAACTTAAAACAAAAGACAACTTGATAAAAAAAGAGAGATTCCTATGAACTAAGAGTCTTCAACGTCAATAGGTTCAACTTGTTCCCCTTCATCAGTGAATATCACAGCTTCCATATCTGGTTCATCAAGAGAAAGACTTGCAATTTCAAGTAAGCCTGCACCCTCCAATGAATCAAAAGCATCTCCACCAGCATCCCATAACTTGGATTCTCCTTCAATGTACTGTCGACTTCTCCTTGATAGGAGACGAAGATTGTTGTGCACAAAAACCAAATCTTCAGCACGTTGTGGTGTCATTTTGTTTCTTTTCATGGAGTGAATAAAGGAGTAGGTGCTCCAATTCCTTTCACAGCATGATGAGGAACATGGCTGGCCAAGCAATTTTAATGCTAAAGATTAAAGCATAGGAGCAGGAGACCCATGTGTAAACCACCAAATAAGTGGATCCAATACTCATCTATCAATCTTTGAGTCAAAATCTCCAAACATATCCAAACCTCCTGAAAACTTGGCATATTCCACATTTACAACCCTTCTCTCCTCTAAATTTGGAAAGTATTTCTTGAAGCACTTGTTTTTCATACTTGAAATTTCTTCATCCCTATAAGGAGGGACACGATTGGGATTTTCATCAAGCCACGTTGAACTATAATACCTAGATTACAACATTAGAAAGTTTTAAAATTAAATTACGTTTTTCATATTAAAAGACAAATGTCAACAAAGAAATATAATTAGTAAAAGTATGAATTAAGCTATTGCCTTGGATTCAAAGAATGTGCAAGGCAATGAAGAAGAGTGTTACTTTTGGACCACCTCTCAACTAGTATATTGTGCACAACGGAATAAAAGATTGATTCTTCATGATCTAGCTTCCCTTCATGCCTAAAGATGCTTGCCTTCACCTTTTCAATCATGGTGTCCCACATTTCATAGACTAAGTGAAGGCATGGTTTGTCAGTGTCACAAAACCTAAGCATCTCATAGATAGGCAATGTAAAAGACAAAACATAATCAATCTTATCCCACCACACATCATTCAATAATTTTTCCTTCACAGATGCGGCTTTCCCAACATCGACTTCTTTGTAAGAAACCCACTGGTCACTAATAACCATTGATTGAAGGCCACGCTTTATAAGTTTAAACCTTTGGAGCATGATAATGGCAGATGTGAAACGTGTATCTGCAACAGCAAGCAACTTCAAGGATACGAATTCATTAAAAATAGCTAGCCGCATGGAATGGTTCATGATGAAGTTTTTGATAAACATCACATCATCAACACAGTGTGATCCAGTGACATTCATCATAAGCAAAAGCAGTACCCCCTGTTTCCTTTGGAGCACAAATGTTCTTAAGAGCAAGATTCAATGTGTGAACTACACATGGTGTCCAAAAGATACTCGGGTACTTACTTTCAATGAGTAAACCAGCTGCACTACACACGGGAGCATTATCTGTAATGACTTGAATGACATTCTGATGTCCAACTTCTTCAATTGCTTGACTAATTAAGTTGGAAATAAAAAACTTGTCTTTATGCTCGCCTTCACAATTAACAGCTTTCAAGAACACTGCCCCAGCTTCTGATGCTCCCATAAAATTAATAAGGGGCCTTCTTTGAGAATCAGTCCATCCGTTTGAAACAATACTCAACCCTTTTTCCTTCCATGATGCTCTAGTTGGCTCCAACAACCTCTCTACATTAGCCCTTTCCTTTTGAAGCAATGTAGTCCTCAACAAGTTATAACCGGGTGGTACATAACCAGGAATTGGATTGTTGGCAGCAAATTGAAATGCACTAACATAATATGGGTTCCTTGATAAATGAAAAGGTAACCCCGCTGAATAAAACATGCGAGCAATCTCAGAATGTAGTTGTTCACGAATAACTGGGTTGAATGCCTTTTCTAGAGCAGAAGTTCCAGTAGCCTTTCTTTTTCTTGGCTCATACCCCTCCATCCTAAATCCTCCAATAACTAAAGCCCCTGAACCTGTTGAAGTAGATTGGGTGGAAGGTGGTAAAGGAACTTTTTTAGGCACAGCCATCTTTAACCTCTTCTCAGCTTCTTCAATTTTCCTTTGCATTTCAGCAAGGTGTTGCGGAGTCACTTTGGGGCACACTCTAATCCCATTGCCAGGAAGTTTTAACAAATGTCCCTTGACCCTAAAGTATGGACCCCTGTACTCTTGTTGACAGTAATTGCATTTAAACCTAGTATTACCACCTCCTCCCATTTTTTCTAGTTTTGTAACATAACACCAAAGATGAGCATGATCATCTTCTACTTCTTCCATTAGTGTACCACTTGTTGAACCTAAATTTCCCGTACCTGAACTCATTTCCTAAAATTTATGGTAAACAAATAAAACAAAACATTAATGTAGCATCACCCATAACAACCATAATGCATCATCCATAACAAAAAATTCATCAATTCAATTAAATTTCAACAATTTTAACAATATAGCATCACCCATATTAACAACCATAATGCAATTCAATCCCAAATTAAGGGGAGAAAAATTTACAAAGTTTATTTATTTATCAATAAGTTTATTTATGTATTTATTAATAAGTTTTTTTTACCTTATTTGATTTATTAATAAGTTTACAAAGTTTATAATTTTATAAGTTGACAAATTTTATTTTTAATAAGTTTATTCATTTATTTATTTACTAATAAGTTTTTTTTACCTTATTTTAGTTATTTATTTATTAATAAGTTTATTTATTTATTTGTTTTATCAGATTTTTTTTTTATCAGTGTTTTATTTATTTAAGTAAATCGCAGAGTATACATACAATACAACAAATTAAAAAAATAAAAATAAAAATAAATAGGCAACAAAGACAGATGAGATCGAGTCGAGAGGGGGGGGAGATAAGATCGAGCCGAGATCTCCAACCAACTAGACAGACAGATCAAGCTCGAGCGAGAGGGAGAGGGAGAGGGAGAGAGAGAGAGAGTTCGTGAGATCGAGTGTTGTGAGAGGCAGACAGAGGGAGCGACATGGAGAGAGAGAGGGACGAACCTGAAAGACGATCGTGGAGCTCCTGTTCGAGAGAGAGGGACGACCTAGCTGCTGTTCGAACTCCTTCGACCTAGCTGCTGTTCGAACTCCTTCGACCTAGCTACTGTTCGAACTCCTTCGACCTAGCTACTGTTCGATCTCACCTCCTCCTCCTCTTTTTTGTGTTTTATTTCATATTTTTTTCATATTTTACAATTTGACCCCTTCTTAAAGTTTTTAAATTATTTTTTTGCCCAGTCGTATCCATACCGTATCCTCACGTATCCTAGCCGTATCCGAAATTCAAAAATTAAAAAAAAAAAATTGAATACTTCATTTCCCGTATCTGATGCGTATCCCGCCGTATCGGGCGCGTATCCGTATCTGATACGTATCCGATACGCGTACGGGGGCTATTTCGGAGTATCCGTGCTTCATAACAAAGTAGAATGGCTTCACCTCAAACTTGCCAGATTTTGATGTCTACCAATGCACACATTCGTTTTCATTATCTTTTTTCCTTTACCTAAAAATTGAACTGAAAATGACCTAAAAGGCAGAAACCAGTACCTGCTAATGAACAAAATAACATGAAGAAACCACAAATTTAGAGACATCAAATACTAGATATTAAAGACGAACAAATCATAATGACAACCAGATACTTAAAGCATAGAGAAGGCAAAGTCAAAATGTTTATCTTCAGTCCTTCCACAAAGGAAGTAAGAATATCCAAATCAATATAAATGATAAAAACGTGTTGTAAATGTGCATAACCAAGAACTCACTGATTCATGCAGCAAATTGGTTCGGAATAATGAGATTGATGAAGATAAATCTCTTTAAGAAGGAGAGATCTAGCCCTGTTGATTGTGGCAAAGCATAGGCATATATGTTCCTCAAGATCCATAAGCTGGCTAAGGAAATTGTGGTGGTTCTTTTGAAGCTGTTTTGCAACCTCATGGATGGGATGCCTCTCCCTGCCTCTATCCAATCCAAGGCGAATGAGAAACTTGTCACCCTCAATAGCAGTATACAAACGCTCAACCAGCCGATCAATTGTGTTGAGGTCGTTGTGAAGGACATATGTACCCTTGGCTGCAGCATCAAGCTGTGCCAGATGAGAAAGCGCCTTTTTACTAATCTTGGTAGGAACGAGTGCAGGGAGGAATGGGCCTGCAACAAAGGCAATGAGAGCATGAGAAGCTATGGCCACAGCAGCTATGGAAACACCAACAACAGTACCAATGAAACAAATGGCAGAGCAAGAGGCAGCACGGCGGAGGAGGTGGACCCTAGAACGAGACTTGCAGAGGCGGTGGTGAAGTTTTTGGTTGAGCTGGGAGAAGCAGTGACGCATGTCATGGAAATTGTGAGAGTCGGGACGAGGGAAGGGGTTGCCAAGTCGGTCAAATTGAAGAAAGATGTCAAAGGCCCGGTCACACTGAGCTTGTGTGAGGGAATTGGGATCAGAGTCTAGAGGGAGAACATCAAGGAGGTTATGAAGATCATAGTAAAGGGAGCGGGCATGTTGAACATTATCAAGGAGGAGGAGGCACAGATGGGAGGTGTTCCCACTGTGATCAAAGTAGGTAGAGACAAGGCGGGTAAGGGTGCTGGGTGTGGCATGTCGAAGTGCCTCTTGGACACACTCTTGGCTGGGGTTGAGGACTTGTGCCAGCTGTTGATCTTCACGGGCCTCCCCTTGCCCTAAGTTTGGGTCTTCGTAAGAATAACTGGAATGAATCTTGGACCATATCTCACTGTAGGAATCAGTCTGCTTAGCAAGGGTGTATTCACAAGTGAGATTGACAGTGGGAGAGGGTTGAGTGCTTGAACTCGGTGTAATGTCAGCTGAACTTCCTGCAGTTTATTCACACAATTCAATTCAATAAATACATTATAAGTTGTATATATTCAGTGTAAATGAATTGGAGAGAGCAGACTGGTGATTTACCTTGCAGTGGCGAGAGAGATGAATGGAGATTTGATCTTCTTGTTGATGATGATGGCATTGCACAATGCAGCATTTGATTGTGCATCCAACTGGGGTGGCGGGTGCGACTAAAAATCAATGAACCGCGTGTTTGGGCATTGGTATCCAAACATTCAAGCAAATTGAAGGAAAAGGTTAGCTTTGAGTCTCCTGTTGAACATGAAAGTCCAGCTGCATGGATTAGGACTGAAGATCAAGAAGATTTCATGATACAGAAATTTAGTAAGTGGTGTTTGTTGGAAAATTCCACAATTATCCAAACATTAATTTGCTGCAGATAAGCATACGTAACATATCTAACTGCAACAAAGAAGCATCCTAAGCTTGTGAGAACAAACCTACTCACAGAAAATGGCATTGTAATGATAGTATACCACTAACTAGTTTTATCATAATAGCAACACTGCCTTTGATGCCAAGCACAGCCATGACCTTCCAAATTGAAAAACATTGGATGGACTCATTCCGCTTCAAGTATTCTAGCCATCCTCTTATTGGTAATGTTTACATAGCTCTGTTGTTTAAATATTCTTGAACAAAGAAACACAACTCAATCACATCATTCAGTCACTAGAAAAAACAAACATAGAATCTACTTGAACTTGTTGACCTAAGAAGCAAGAACACAGACCCGGGTACAAACTGGGACAACAATTTTCAAAAAATAAAATAAAATAAATTAGAATAAAAAAAATGGGTTATTTCCATTGTGGTTCAGCTCGAAAACACATTACCTTATTATAGTTTAGAAATATACACTCCCCCTTTGGAGTGAAGTGCAAAGACCAACTTTGTCAACAATATTTGTAAAGAGTCTATGCTACCCTTAAGTTTTTCTCTAATTTTTTTTTTATGCCATCACAATCATAATCGGATTTTTCACTTTCTTCTTTTTTCTTCCTTCTTTTCTCCTTTTATCCTTTTCTCCACCCCTAGCTCATGGCCAGTACCTCTTCTTTTAGATAAAAGAATCAACCCAAAACGATTTTCCATTTTAACACACATACCCACTGCCTCCATTTTGTAAATCATAATCAAAATGTTTTTCCAAATTAAAACCACGCACACACACATACATACATATGTATATATATATATAATCCTATGTATATAGATACCTATGAAGCATGGGTGCGGGTGCAGGTGTGGATACGGAGACAAGAGCACCAATACGGAAAAACCTAAAAAAATTGGATACGAGTATAGCTGGGGTACCCCAATAATTTTTTTTATTTTTTATAAGTTATAGTTTGAAATTCAACCTACAAATCAAAGTTTAATACCAAAACTAAAAGGAGAAATTACAAAACCAAAAGAGCAATCATAATTTAACAATACCAATATCAAATAAGAGTCCATAACATAAGCTATTTTAATGCCATTAAACAAGAGAAATCACAAAACAAAGTTTCACTCCAAAAGCAAGCTAAGCAAAATTTGAAAACTTGAAACTTCAATTTTCACTTCCATTGCCTTCATCATTGAATAATACATCTTTCACCTCTGGCACATCAAGTAAAGAATTTGAAATTTCAAGTAAATCAAAACCCTCTAATAAATTAACCTATCTCTACTAATGTTCCATAGCTTGGTGTACCCTTGACATACCCATCCCATACCCGCAAAGTACCCATAGCAAACCCAACTGTCAAATAATGTATAAAACGGACTCAATACGTATTTCAAGTACCTGGTATGAATTTCAAGAACCCAATATGCATGCAGCCCTATCGGTACACATACAAGTACTCGGTAAGTACCTGGTACAAGTACGACAACATTTTAGAGTACCCGTGTTTCATAGATATATCAATTAATATGTATGCATATATATCATATATGTATAATTGAAACTACCCAACTACCCGTCAATTCTTTCTTCGGCTGCATTACCAATAGTTTCTGTCCTTTCCTCTTTTTTTTCTCTTTTTTTTCATAGAAGCAACCATGATTGTCCTAGCCAAACTAGGCAAGAAGAAGACCCACACAACTCACGAATATATAAATACATACATTTATATATCCAGCAGCCATAGTAAAAAAGAAAGAAAAATGAAAGGGAAAAGACAATGGGTAGTGGCAAGAAGAAAAGCAAGAGAAGGGTAGTATAGGCAGCCTATTTTGATCGACTTGAGCACCTCTTCCCCAATATCTTGATGATGAATGCAGAGACACGGCAGCTTCAATAATCCTCAACAATCCAAAGAAGCGGATTCCAAACCTTATACCCCTTTTGGTCAAAACCATTTTAGGCCGTTTTAAAACCATTTTCAAAATGTTTTTAGACTTGTAAAATCCAAGCATTCTATAATGCTCAAAGCCCGTATTTTCATCAAAACCATAGTATCTTTTGCAAAAAGAGCGAGAACAAGGTAGAAATGAACAGAGAGGAGAATCCTCCAGAAACACACTTTTTGCCCAAAATTAACCCTGGTCGTACAATATTAGTCCAGCTGTATAACTTTCTTGCACACCCGTAGCCTTTTGCCACGGTCATACAAGAACTATATGGCCGGATAAAAGTTGTTTGGCCAGACAATTTTTGCGACAAACAGAGCAGTTTCTAGAAGATGGTCCCCCATGCAACCTCTTCCGCAATTTACGAAAAATTGTGCCCCAAGGTAGCACCTCCCCCAACCTCTTAGCCTATAAAAACTATGCAAGCAGGAACGTGCTCTTCCGCAATTCTCAGGAGAATTGCGGACCAAGGCACCTCCCAAGCTATAAAAGCACCTCTCATTCAGCTTTTGAAGGGGTTGAAGATTTAGAGAAGCAAAGGAGATACAATAACTCTCTTGCTCATAACTCTTTCTCTCTCTCCATACTTACATGTACATACATACAAGACTACATTAAAGCTGGGAAGATGAAGCTTCTTGCCAGGATTTGAAGATTGAATTCAGAGCTTAGAGAGTGATTGGAAGAAGAGGATTGCAAACTCAAAAGAGCTCTTCCTCCTTTGAGGTAAACTCTTGATCATTTTCTCATCACTTTCTCTTCTACTTTCTTTTCTTTTCTCTCTTGCCAAACACTCTTTAATTCAGTGTATTGGATAGTATATAATGTGATTAGGCCTGCAAATAGTGGAGGGGATTTGCCACGCCTCCATAGGATTGCTTGAATTGTAACTTTTTTAGTATTTTCTCTATTATTTTCTTACCTCCCAAACACTCCTTTTCTGAACTTTCATTGAGTGTTTGACTTGATTATAGACTTGTATAAAGGGTTGTAGTCTTACCCTTTGATTAGTTTAGATAATTGTCTTTGTTTCTTTCATTTTCTTTTATTTTCTCTTACTTTCTCACCAATTTTCTTATCATCCAAACATATTTAATTATCATGATTCAACTCTTGCTTATGTGTAGATGAGCATTTGTAGTTGTTTTGAGGGGTTAATTGGATGATTAGAGAGGGTGATGTTTGCCCTTTTCCCTCTCTTTTTTTTTTTATTTTCTCATCATTTTCTCTTTAATTTTCTTGGAAGCCAAACATGGCTTCCTCTTGGAGATGAGTGTTGATCTATCTTCTCTACACATTGTTACATGGATTTAAGCATCATTTTGCTCTTTTCCGTGAAAAGAGATATAGATCACATCCTATTTCCTTGATTCTTAGTTCTATAATCTTGGTTTGTTTCCATGATCATCATGTGATGGTTCATATCACTTAATGATCAAGGAAGCCAATCCATCATTCCTATGATTGCTTTTATGACAGGAGCGATGGATTATGTTTCATTTGATTATTGCCATTCTTTTTCTCATCCTTTGATGATTGAGATTGAGGTTTTCTATCATGCTCATTAGAAAGCTTCTATGGCTCGAGTGGATTTCATTCTCTCATCATTCATGATGATTGATGATGAATTCATCCTGTCTAGCTTCTATTTGTATGAAAAAGAGGATTAGTGCTTCTCCCTTACATTTCTATGTTAGAGACGCGCTTTGGCTCATTTTCTTTTCATTACTTTGTTTCTTAGCTTCATTTGCTTGATGGCTTCGATATTTTCATTTGGTAATCTTATTAATGTAATCAATCCATTTGGATTCCATATTCTTCTCGTAAATTGTTTCCATCATTTTTGCTAGATTGCTTCTTTTAGTTGTATGCATATTCATCTTTCTATTCTCTCCCTTCTTTATCCCTTTTATTTTGGGCTTTCCATATCATTCTTGGCATCATATTTCTTTCTTCATCATCTATATGTTTTGCATCCATTTTTCATGCATTAAGGCTCGGTTCATTATTACTTAGTGTTCTCTTATGTGATTTTGTGCACATCACATGTCTTGCGATGGTCCATATGTCATATGCTAGTAGCCGAGTCTTTAGTTGCATTCTTGTGTATGTAATTACATTAATCCATCACATCTAAGATCATGCATGTTTTCTAACATTTTTGCACTTGGCGGATGTGGAAGAGTACTAGGTGAGCCTCTTTCATCTTGACATCTTGCTTGTGCATGTTTCCTTTCTTTGTTCTACTATGTGGCTACGTGCTTATATGAGACACCTTTTTGATTCATTTGGGATGATCTTGATCTTTATGCATGTGAACTCTTATTTTCTTTGGAGTTACACATTTAGAACCTTTTTCAAAAGGAATGAGATCAAAGCGTTCCAAGATAAGTGATGTAGGACGAGTAGGGATTACTTTCCTACAAGTAGTGAGCCCAGTTTAAATATACTAGTAGTAGCAACAATAGACTTATAGGGCTGGATTTGATAAGATTTTGTGGCTGCAAAAGTATTTAAAAATAGGAGTTTAAGGGTTTATAAAAAGGAACGGTTTTGGGAATGAAAACACAAGTGTTTAGGGATAGTTGGGTGGTTGTTCTAAGCACTGTGAACAATGACGTGAACAGTAACCTTGCTGGATAGTAGAAGAAGACGAAGAAGAGAGAGAGAAGTGCTTCACCCTCGCAAAGGATACAAACACGATCTCAAATTTTCATATTATTAACTTCGCTATTGAATAATTGAGATTACACATATATTTATAAGCTAAAAACTTTTCTAATTCTATAAGGACTATTTCTCAAATTTAGAAACTAAAAATATTTAACAACTACCAATTTTAGACCAACTATGACTTCCAATTCTACTTCAATCATAATAGGAAACTTTAATAACTTCTAATCCTACGTCAATATCAAAATAGGAAATTTAGACTTTTGACCACTAAG